GAAGGAATAAAGGGGGGAGGGGGGAGGGGCAAGGAGAGGGAATAGGTCAGGTTAAACTAGGCAAGCATGTGAATTAAAACAGTGTGTATAAGAAATGCAGTTTTAGGGGTGCTTGGGTGGCTCAGTCGGTTAAGCATCCTGCCCTTGGTTTCGGCTCAGGCTGTGATCTCAGGGTCGTGAGACTGAGCCCCAGGTCAGGCGCCGCACTCAGTGGGGGGTCTGCTGGAGTTTCTCTCCCTCTGCTCCCCGTGCACTTGTGCGCAAGGGTCTGCGCTCTCTCTCTAATAAATAAATAAATCTTAAAAAAAAAGAAATGAGCTTTTATTCTACTCAGGTATTTTCTGCACACTTACCCAACAAACACGTGCTGGCTAGCCACTCTGGGCCAGGCACCGTGTTTGGTGCGTGAGCAGTACTGTGCCTGCCCCGAGCTGTAAGCAGCCATTCACAGCAGGGGCCAGCATAAGACCCCGAGAGAACAACTCACCAATCCCGGGCAGGTTGCGGGGGTGGCCCACAAAATTTCCCGGAGAAGCCATCCGTCCTCTGAGCTGACGGGTCAGGAGGAGGTAGCAGCCACAGAGCGTGAGCTCGGAGAGAACCACCCGGCAGAGTGAGGGCAGTCACGATGTCAGCATGAGGAGCACCTGCCTACAGACGCACAACAGATTCGCACGGGAAGTAAACAGCGACCTCATGAGACAGGGTCCTTGCGACAGGTTAAGGATTTGGGACTTATGTTAAGCCCAGAAGGCTTTTAAAAACACGGAAGTATCCTAACCACCTTTACCTTTTAAAAAGATCATTCCGAAGGGAGGGGGGAAACACCTGCAGGCAAATATTGAACTTGGTTAATGATAAGGATGCACAAATTAGGAGGAAGTATACCGCGGTCTGTGATTCACTTGGAAATGCATGACGGAAAAGAAGCCTGGTGGGTAACTAGAAGGCTGGAAGGCTGGCGAGATGTGGGACAACGAAAATACAGTAAAATGGTAATGGTAAAATCAAAGTGGTGGGGATAGGAGGCTCATTGTAAAATTCAACTTTCCTTATGTTTGAAAATGTTCATAATAAAATACGGGGAAATTTAGATCATTCTGGCTGCTTGGAGAATGTTCTAGAAAGGGACACAGGAGCCAGTGAGGAGGTGGCTGCAGTAATTGAGGCAAGAGGTAGTCATGGCCCCAGAAACTGGGGAGAAACAGGGTGAGAAGAATTTGAATTCAAGAGCCTTTTCAGGAAGTTACACCAATGGTTTGGTGACGGAATGGCTGTGGAGGGAAGGCAGGCTAGGGATAAACAACAAACCTACCAATCAAGAGTTGAGCAAGGATGGCCAATAGATTTTGGGGTGAAAAGAAGGACTCATAAGACCCATGAAGAACTCTGAATCACCGGTGTCTCCTTCAACTGGCCTCTGACTTCAGGTCCTCACCAGGAGATTCCTGGCACGAATTCTTTGCCTTCTTGGTCTGCTCTGGAACTCGTGGGGAACTCAGTGGGCTGTGGCACCATGGCACGCCTCGAGCAGAGCAGGGGGGAGAGCCGGAGAGCAGCTACTTCCCTGCAGGGGCTGGGCTGCTCCCGCCCAACCCTCCCCTCAGCCCTCCCCAGCGCTGCTGCAGCTCTGCTCTTGTCAATTTAAGTGCTCTGTTTTCTCAGAACAAAAGTTGTTTGGGGTCAGCAGCTTCAAAATGGCTTCTTCATCCTCAGCCAGCTTTAATTTATCAGCTTTCAGCTGCAAACCAGATTTCTCTCGGGAAGACTCAATCACAATAAAGCAAAAACGAGTTTTCCTCAGGGCTGCAAACTGCCTCTCGGCTGGAGCAGATGTTGGCCTGATGGTTCTGGGAGAGGCAGCCTCCAGGGTCCCTCCCTCTCCGGGGTCCCTCCCTCCCTGGCGCCTACGCGCGGATTGTAATTTCAGCTCATTTCCTACATGCCTTGCGCTGGAGACCGTTAGCAAGCCCCTCCTCGACTTTCTTCCCTCCCTGTGAAGGACGTTTATCAGACGACCTGTTTTCCATTCCATAATTACTTCTGGGCCTCAGTGCTGGAGGCTTGTCCCTGTCACGCCCACGGCCTTGGGAGGCTTACGTGCCTCGGGAGTGTTTGTGAGGACTTGAGCAGGGCGGACAGGCCACATCCACGGGGATGCCCGTGGCCACAGAAATGCAGTGACTGGCATCGGACCCTAGAAGGGGGACTCCCAACTCTGCTTAAGGACATGGGAGCCTGGGGGCGCCTGCATGGCTCAGTCGGTTAATCGTCTGCCTTCGGCTCAGGTCATGATCCCAGGATCCTGGGATCGAGCCCCGCATCGGGCTCCCTGCTCAGCGGGGAGTCTCCTTCTCCTTCTGCCCCTGCTCCCACTAATTCTCTCAATCTCTCTCTCATAAATCTTTAAAAATTAAAAAAAAAAGACATGGGAGTCTGAGCCAATAATCATCACTGCTCCCAAATAAAGCTAGACACACATGCCTCCCCGCACACCATCTGATTCTGGCCTTTGACTTTCGAAAAACTGACCTCACTTGAGACCCAGACGGCATCTACCCCTTCAGTCTTGGAGGGAACCCACTCAGGTGGCCCTTAGGCAACAGATATGAAGCTCTGCTCCTCCCCCAGCTGAGCCTCAGGCTCCCCACAGTGAAATTGGGGCGGGCGTTCAGGCTGGGGGTCGTTTCTACGGGTGAGTCGGACCATGGAGTGAAGGCGCCAGCCCAGCGCCTGGGTCCTTCGTGGCGCTCAGCCCGCCCTGGTGGTTACCACGGGGCGGAGAACTCCTTTTTCTGGCGTGATGACTAACTCACATCTGCACATCAGCTACGTAGCTGAGCAACCCAGAGTGGGCTTTGTGTGCTTCAAGTATAAAAATGCTCCTATTGTTCTCATTTCCTAGGTATTGGCAACACTTCAGTCACTTTGGCTGCTTGTTCCTTGGAGAGGGGACTTGTTTTAGGAAACAGGCAAGGAGAGGGGCTCCTTTTCCAGCGTTTTAATCATCTTTGGGCCTCTCCCAAGAGTCCTGTTCGAGTGTCCCAGCCTCTCCTGGTTGAGAAGGACTTTCTTGTGAACATGATCACTGCCGAGGACACTTGCAGAATATTTCATGGGACAGGGGTCTCTGCATGCTCAGGGAGGTCATTTTGTGGGCTGTGGGGGGGATTCTTTTGGTTTTGTTGGTTTGGGCTTTGGTCACACATTTAAATTCTTGGGTCTCCAAGGCCCTGCTTTATCTCTGGGTCACTGTGTCTGTTCCCCAGCAGGAACCTTAGCTCCTGTGCGCTGACAGAGGTCGCTGTCACTCAAGCCACCAGGTGGTGCATCCCAGGCGTCTGAGCCGAGGAAGGGGCAGGTGGAGAGGCAGGCAGACCGGGGCAGGGACCCAGAGACAAAGGCTTCACAGAATAAAGGATAATTAAAGCCAAAAGACTTACTTGTGCCAGGCACAATGCCAAGTTCTTTCTGTGAATTTTCTCTTTCATTTCTTTCCCCCAGCCATCCCTGTTTTGAAACAGCCCTTTATACTGTAGAGAGGCCAACTTGGAGAGTGGGCCACGTTCTCCAGGTCATGCAGCTGGCCCCGGGCAGAGCCAAGGGCAGAAGTCAGCCGCTGACCAGAGCCCAGGATCCTTCCCGCTCCTGGGTCTCTGCTTCTCTGAGGAAGTGGAAGCCTCCAGCTCCAGCCACAGGAGGCCCCTCAACCTGGGTGAGATGGATGCCCTTGAACTGGCGCCACCTGGAGCTCTGCGCCCTCACCTGGGCTGCTGGGGAGTGGAGGGGGCGATAAATGGGCAAGATGGCAGCTTCCCATCTCTGGAAGTGGGAGGGAGCGGCTCCTGCTTTGAAAGTAAGTATGCAGAAAGCGCTAGAAGGGGCAGCATCTTTCCTCTGTTCCCCTGTTACAGCAGCTTCTTTAAAGATACCGGATGGCTGCAGCTGTGCCTGATACCAGAGCGGGGGCAGCTGCAGGTTTGGGCTTGAGGGTGGGCTCGGAAGGTGGGGCCGGGGTCTCCATCCCCAGCACGCTGGCCGCTCTAAACTCAGGTGAGGCCAGGGGTTTTCAGTTTCACCGCGTTGGGCCACGGGGGCCTTCCTGCAAGGCCCGGGGGACTGTGGGAGCCAAGGGCTCCTGGGTGCGTGAAGGCTGAGGGAGCCCTGTTTCCCAAAGCGTTGGGCACTGGACACAGGGTGCTCTTCTGCCTTTCTTCTTCTTAGTCTCTTGTTCCCCTCCCTTGTGTTACCAGTACTACCCAGAACAGAGTGGGAAACACAGCGCTCAGCAAACAGCAAGGGGAAAGAAAGCCAGGCTCCGCGCTCCTGTGCTGAGAAGCAGGCTTTGGGTGTGCAAGGCCGGTGCAGCTGACTCTGTGTGGGCACGCTCCCCCTGGGCTCTGCGTCCCGCGGCTCCCGCTAGGAGGGTCGGAGATGGGTTGGGGCTGCTGGAAGCAGAGCTACTGCTCCCGGGGGAGGACCAGCTGCTTGGGGTGGGGGGCTGCATGGACGCCTCAGGGGGGCTGCCATCAGGGCTGGCCGTCTATGGCATAAGGATGCACTGTCCCACCACCCCATCCCACCATGCCCTCTGCGCCCTGTAGAATCTGGTTACGGAGCATTTGCTCTGTTACTCATCCAGGATCAATGCTCTGACTTCCCAGCCCATATGTCACGGGGTTGGAAAGTCTGCCTCCCAGGGGGATGCACCAGGATAAGTTCCCAGGCTGGAGCCATTCCACGCTGACCCTCCCTCACCTTAGGGCTGGTCTCTTCCCGGGAGTCCATTTTTGGGGGTGGGTGTCAGAATGCTAAGGCGTGTTCCACCTGCCCTGACATTTTATGATGCCACCTCCGATAGAGGTCCTACGAGCAGCCAGAGGGTCAGGGTCATTTGAGAGAGCCCTGAAAACCATCCTCACTCATTGGGATGGCGGAGGGCATGGAGTGCCTGTCCTGTCTATTTCACAGGCAGGCGGGGCTCCTGTCTGCAGTCGGCCATGGAACGGTGGTGGCAGCTCCTGTTAGGGCTGTGGATAGTCACGCCGCCCACCTGGGCTGGGGATGAGCTGCTCAATGTCTGCATGAACACCAAACACCACAAGAGAGAGCCTGGCCCAGAAGACAAGCTCTACGAGGAGGTATGGAGGCCGGACCTTGCCTGGGGTGGGGGAGTGAGGCTGCTTTGGCAGATCAGGGAAGGGACACAAATTCCACGAAGGTTTCTGAGCCACCATCAACACTGACTCATGTTGTTCCTTACATTGGCACTGAGGCCAAGGCCACTGGAGGGACACTGTGGCCTTTTGAGATCATAGCCATTGAGTGCTTCAAAGTTCCCATCCCTGAGCTGCCCAGCCTGGGGGGACAGGGGCAGATGGTGATCCCAGAGGCCCAGCCCTGGTTCAGCACAGATGCAAACAAGGTCCTCCTCTAGCCTTCTTCCTACCAATAGGCACTGGGGAGACCTAGGCTTTAGGCAACCCCTCCCCAAGCCCTAAAGGCAGTTGATGGGGGGGGGCAAGGAGGAGTTGTGGAGCTGGCCTTTCCCTGTGAGCACTCCTCAGTGCGCCACATCCCCCTGGGGCTTGTGGGGCTCCTCTGCCACCCCCCGGGAGCTGAGACCCTGCAAGTCCTGTTTCTAGAGGACTGCAGCAGGGCTCTTTGGCTGGGGATTTTGACACGTTCTCAGCATTTCTTCTATATGGGTATGATTGGCTTGAAGCCATCCCACTTGCCCAGGTCCTACTCAGTCTACTGCGTCTTAGCCAACCCCATGCCTTTTCCTTCTTCATCGGCCTTCAGTGCCTCCCCTGGCAAGGCAATGCCTGCTGCACGGCGGGCACCAGCTGGGAAGCCCATCTGGACGTGTCCCTGCTCTACAACTTCAGCTTGCTCCACTGTGGGGTGATGATGCCAGGCTGCGAGAAGCACTTCCTCCAGGCCGTCTGCTTCTACCAGTGCTCCCCGAATCTGGGGCCTTGGATCCGGAAGGTCAGAAGGCTGGGCCAGGGAGGCGGGAGGCATGTCCGCACAGTGCCCTGTTACTAAGGGCCCGAGCCCCGTGATGCTGGCCGGAGCAGGCCGCGCTGTCCCCCTACAGACAAGAGCAGAGTCAGAGGCCAGGTTGGGGAAAAGGCCAGAGAGGAAGTCACCTCAGGCCCTGCAGAACAGCGTAGCGGGCAAGAGATGAGAACTGTAGGATGAGGGGCTATTGCAATCCCATTCTTCTGGATGCAGGAAGCTGTGTAGCCTGGGCCAAACAATTGAGCCTCTGAACCTCCTTGTTCTCCTGGGTAAAGCAATGCTTACAGACTCCATTAAGAAAATCTATTCAGAGGGTACCTGGCACAAGTACCCTCGTCGCTACCGATGACCTTCAAATGATTGCTATTAGCATTCTTGTCTCCTGCCATGCCTGTACCCAGATGGACTCGGGCGGGCCAGGAGAGCGAATTCTGGATGCGCCCCTGTGCCAGGAGGACTGTGAGCAGTGGTGGGAAGACTGCCGTACATCTTACACTTGCAAATCCAACTGGCATGGCGACTGGGACTGGAGTGGGGGTGAGTGGTGCTTGGCAGGGCCCCCGCCTGGGGGCAAGCGCAAGCTCCCTCTGCTCCCCGAGGGCAAAGGACGGGGAGGTAAGGGTGTGCCTCCATCCCCCCCTACAGGGAAGAACCGCTGCCCTGCAAGGGCTGTCTGCCGCCCTTTCCCCCATTACTTCCCCACCCCGGCTGACCTGTGTGAGAAGATTTGGAGCCGCTCCTTCAAGGCGAGCCCCGAGCACCGGGGCAGCGGACAGTGCCTGCAGAAGTGGTTTGAGCCTGCTCAGTGCAACCCCAATGTGGCTGTGGCCCGCCTGTTTGCCAGCACGGCCCCGTCCTGGGAAGGCTCCTACACGCTCATGGCCTTCTCCCTGCTCCTGTCGTTCCTATCCCAAAGCCCCTTCTTCTCCCACCTGCAGACCTGTACTCCCCCAGCTGTGGGTCAGGCTGCGCCATGGCAGCCCCCTTTCTTGGGTCCTTCCTTAAGAGCAGCATGGGCTGGGGGACGAGGGGGACACTGAGGCTGCAGGAGCTGGTGCCCAAGCCGTGAACATTCAGTTCAAGGCCTTCACCCCACCCCCCTCTGCTCTGTTCTGCCTTTCTCTGCCTGGAAGGCAGCCAGGGGCTGGGAGCGCCAACGTGACCTGCCCCCTTCCACCTTTATGGCCAGTGGGACTCCAATGTGGGACTCCAGGCCCTTCTCATCCAGTGCATGCCCACCTCCTTCCGTGGCAGAGCTGGTGGTCACAGGCCTGGCCTCCCTTCCCATGATGGTGCCTCCAATAAAACAGCAGTTGACCTTTCCCCTCTGTGTGACCCACTCTGTCCTAGCTCTATGGTCAGGGAGTCAGGCTGCACAAAGAGGGAGCCAGTCCGCCAGCCGCACTGAAGTCTCAAAGTTGGTTGCCACTTTTAATTCATAACAGTTAGCTTCTTCATATGTGCCAGGACCTCTCATTACATCCTCACAACACCTCCTGGTGGGAAGACTTTCGACACCGCCTCCCCGCCCCCATAAGCAGTATGCCATACAGAAGACCCAAAGGCAGGGTAAGAACCACCCAGACCATTGGTTTTATTTTGGATACAAGATTGAAGCCCCTCAACTGCTTTAGGCATTTCCTGTTCTTTTTTTTTTTTTTTTGAGAGCACAAGCGGTGGCCAGTGGGGGCGGGGGGTGGGCAGAGGGAGAGGGAGAAGCAGACTCCCCACAGAGCAGAGAGTCCGATGCGGGGTTCAATCCCAGGACCCTGGGACCATGACCCAAGGCAGACGCTTAACGGACTGAGCCACCCAGGTGCCCCATTTCCTGTTCTTTTAACCCCAGAATCACAATACACAGCTCTGGAATTCTGGAAGCCAAGCTCTAATCATGTTTTACCACTTTCTATATGACTTTTGGCAAGTCCATTGGCCTTCATTTAAGACTGTCTATGCTTCCCTCTCCCCTGAGAGGAATGAGGGAGTTTGACTCCATGATTTTAACTTACAAAAAGAAAAAGGAAAAAGCCAATGCTATTGTTTGTTGGGATATAGTCTGTGCTTCTCAGGCAGTCCCACACCCTAAAGAACAAGACAGAAGTCAGAACTGAACTCGAGAAGGGGCACTGGGGCAGCCTCCACATCCCTTCTGTAAGTGGACTGGGAGCCAACCCACCCACTCAGAACCTTCCAGAGCCTGAAGCCCAGCAGCTTCTCAGCATAGATAGTGCCGTCCCTACAACCTTTTCGTTGACAAAGAGGGTTTCTAATATGTCAGCACCTGAGGTAGTTGGCTTTTCCAACAATTACTCATTCTCACCAGACATCAGTAAGCCTTGCTTATAATTAAATTCTATCTCCATTCCTCCCACGCTTACCCTGAATATGCTCCTTCACTGAACAGATCCTGTCACAGGGAGGACACTCGAGTTCTAAAACCAGTGAGGACAGACCTCCTAACTGAGGTGTTCAGAGTCTGGAGTAGGAGACGGACACTAGCAGTGGAGACAAAGCACTTGGCTAGAAGCCTGCAAGAATAGGGACTGGGCTGGGGGTCCTCACAAAGGGGGTGATGCCTGAGTCCACTGAAGAAAGGTCTTTTCATTAGGCACACACACACAGACACACACAAACGCTAAACAAAAACGAGCCAGTCCATAAAGCATGAACTATCTGAAGCAGGAACTTCACCTGCTCTTAAGTGAATCAATAAATTATGGCTTCAAAAATACATATAGGTAAAATTTCTTAAGAGTTGAGGATTTGGAGTGTCTGAGGATATGTGTGTGGTAATAAAGCTGAGAGTTAAATGACTTTTAAAAAGTATTTTTAGGGGCCCCTGGGTGGCTCAGTCAGTTAAGCGACTGCCCTCAGCTCAGGTCATGATCTCAGGGTCCTGGGATTGAGCCCCGCATCGGGCTCCTTGCTCAGCAGGGAACCTTCTTCTCCCTCTGCTGCTCCCCCTACTTGTGCTCTCTCACTCTCTCTCTGTCAAATAAATAAAAATAAAATCTAAAAAAAATATTTTTAGGTATTTTTACCTAAACATAATCAAAGTAAGGTTAAAATTGAGTTAGCCCAAACAAGACTAGTTCTGGGAGCTTTAGTGACTGCTACTCTTTATTGATCATTTACTCTGTGTCTGGGGCTCTGCTAAACTCCTAACATGCATTAGCTGATCTGATCCTTCCAAAAGCTTTGAGAGTCACTCTTTTTTTTTTTTATTTTTTATTGTTATGTTAATCACCATACATTACATCATTAGTTTTGGATGTAGCGTTCCATGATTCATTGTTTGTGCATAACACCCAGTGCTCCACGCAGAACGTGCCCTCTTTAATACCCATCACCAGGCTAACCCATCCCCCCACCCCCTCCCCTCTAGAACCCTCAGTTTGTTTTTCAGAGTCCATCGTCTCTCATGGTTCGTCTCGCCCTCCAAGAGTCACTCTTAAACACCCATCTTTCAAGTTAAGACAGACATATGTGGGTTTGAAACCAGGTAGGTCAGATTCCACAGTCCCAGCTCATGAGGCTTACACAGAACACCCTGGCAAGTGGGACTGGACAAATGTAGGGAGTGAAGGGAGAGGGGGCAGGCTTACAGCAAGTGATGGTCAGGAAAGAGAGACTAAGCTTTCTCCCTGTTTGTGGTCAGAGGAGTGACAGTTTTCGGTAGTGGAATAGAATTGTTTAGATTTGCAGTTAAATGATTTGTTTTAGGCAGAGAGATCCATGCATGTGGCTATAACACATAGGTAAAAGGACCTCTAACACAGAATGACAGAGCCCCAGCCAGTCAGCCCCTTGGTTCCAGAGGTACTGACTTTTGAACCATTTCTGGATTTAGCTATGAAAAAATTACAAAAGGTGGCTTATCTTTTCTGCCACACAGACTACCTTTTTGCTCTTTGTTCTGTTAGTTTCTTAACTTAATCTTCCAATCTTTTTAATTTTGGCAATCCACTTTTAATTTCCAGGAGATTTTTACAACCTGCTGTTTTTGGTTTTATGGATGTAATATCTTCTCAAATCTGAGAATCTAATTAGAATTTTTTAAAGTCTTTTTTTCTAGTGTCTGAATGACCTATTTCTTCCAAGGGCAATCTGTTCTCTTTACCTTCATCTTCCCCTGCGTGCCACTAGTTTAATCTGTGTCTGGTTTCCTTGGCTGTGTATCCACATTTAAGAATGATAAGCTGGGTTGATTCTTCTAGCTAGCTGGTCTAGGTGTCCTGGGTTGTGTCTGTGGCTCTTTCCCCTGACTAGCAAAGCTGAGGGGGAGTTCTGGGTATATGGGGGAAGGCTTGTGGGCTAGAAGGCTGCTCCTGAGTGTGGAAGTAAATGAGAACAAGCAAAGGCTATTTGGTCAGAGCTTCCTGTAACAAGGAAGTCAGCCACCAAATCCCTTGAGTTTTGAAAGAGACTCAAAAGCAGGCAGAGAGAAAGCTTTGAAGTGGGAAGCTTCAGGTATGCCCTAATTGAGGCTGTTGGCATGGGGAAGCCGTAGACAGGCTAACTAGAAGAGGGGCATCCTCTGTGATTGATTAGAAATGTGTATTTGGCTTTCCCTGGGTGATCCTCATTTGGAAGCTGGGATAAAAATTAGGGAAGCTGTCAGTCATTAATCAAGTCCTGGCTGTTTGGGGCTGATTATTAAAGGGGTAATTGTTTGGCTTCCTGGGCTGGTTGTTAAAATAGTGGTCTAATCTCTTGTAAATCTGGTTTAGATAGCAGGTTGCCTTTCTGGACTGATTATTGCAGATAATGGATTAAAACTATTTTTATATACACCCAGCCATCGTCCATTTGTACGTGCAGTCTCGCGAGACCGAGTTGGCAGGAGCTATATGGACAGCAGACCCCTCAAATACTGGAATAAAGATGGTTCTCTTTGGGATGCCACACCATAAATTTCACCATACTTGGAACTTCAGCACTGTCTAGGAATTGACTATTTGGAGAAGAAACCATCTGGGGGTTAAAGTTGGGTTACCTGAGCTCCAGATTTGGGTAGAGGACATGGGAGTGAGCATGTGTAGACTTCTTCTCTCTTCCCCTCATGCCTGCCAGCACTGAGCCCAGAGCCTCTCAGAGGTTCTGCCTGGAAGATGAGCTCCTCCTTCCACGGCAGCTGCCTCTTCCACTTCTTCTAGCCACCCCTGTTCCCTTTGGTGCACTTCCATATTCTATATTCTAAATATTTATTGAAATCTCTTTTTCACTGGTAGTTTCCTTCATGCTCTTCCATAAAGGAACAATGAGAAACAAATATTTTAGTGAGATCCCAGTAATTCATTCTACCTTCTGTAACCAGAAACTGCAGGTTTAAAAAAAGATCTCATTGTATAAAGAAAAGATTACAAGGGGGCCAAACTGGAGACAAAGAGGCTGAGGACAATGTATAGGATGAAATGTAGGGGAATGACATAAGAAATGCAGATGGTAGGAACTAGGCATTAAGTTAGACTACAGGAGAGACAGTGAACCAGAACATGGCAGATTCAGGAACTATTAGAAAGATGGAACCTATGGAAATTTGGACCATACTTTTGTACACAGTGCCCCAAAATACATGTAAGATGAAATGTTGGGGAGAGAGAACAATCACAAAGGAAACAACAGCCTTGGATAACTCAATTGTGATGCTCCCATCAGTAAGAGGTATTTTCCCTAGCCTAGATTGTACGAGGCAGGTCTTGGGTAGAGGACACTCCTTCTACTAGAGGCAACCCATTCACTTTTCCACTATGGGAACATCAAATCCTGTTCAAGTCCTTTCTCAGAGAATGCTGGGAAGCTCTGGGTAGCAGGTGAAAAACAAAAACATGCATGCTTCCCTTGCTTTAAGATTCCTTTTTGAGTAACTTTCCTCAGTAAGACTTCATATCAAAGTGGGTAAGTCACTGCAGCCTGGTATGCATGCACTGGGATCTTGTTCCCAGACCAACCTCTGCTGCCAGAAAAAGGAATGCTGAGCACCCACCCCTTCCATTCCTCCTCCACCATGTCCCTGTCTCCTCCTTTTCCCAACCCATCC